ACCGGACCAAAATGTCAGCAACTGATCGCCAAGTTTGGCGACTTCTTGCCAAATTTCGCAACAAAAATTAGTTGCCAAAACGATCGCCAGCTTGGCGATATCTTGTCAATTTAGCAAAAGAGCCATTTACCTCCATGTTAAATAGGCTTGCCCCTGTTATTAAATTTTTCCGACACAGCTTCGTCTTCTTCAGACTTTACATGGTACATAATACAAAAGACACCACAGTTCTGTATAAGAGGAGGCATGTCTGCCTATGAGGAGGGATGCCTCCGTGGAGGACTTTTTAAGTGAAACTGGTTGGTATCTCCGTTACATATGCAGAAAACCACGAAAACCAAAAATGCAGCCCCGTTCGCCGAAATTCGATCACAGGTCGAACTACCAGTGTTCAGCAACGTTGCCGCTAGTGGGATTGCAAATCCACCACGACTACTGGACAAAGTTGTGAAACAGAAATGGAATCAATACCCAGGAAAATTTTTTAAAAAGCTTTTATATCAAATTGATGATGCAGACTTACAGCCCAGAAAACAGGTTACAAGTACATTTTAAACATTAAATAAACGGCACCGAAATCGTTCTAAAAATGTATAAATACTCTCTGTATATAAAAAGGTATTTGAACCTGTCTATGCAATAATTTAAAAAAGGGGATATTTTATTTACTATTCGAGATAAAGTAGTAGGAAAATAAATATTGCTGCTTTAGTTTGTATAAATAGTTGTTGGTATTTCCTTACTATTAAAGCTCCCATTATTAAACCATCGCTAAACAGCTGGCAATCTTAACCACAGGCATATACAGTCCATCCGTCATAAGAACTTTGAGTAAGGTTGCAGTTTATTAACAAAATGGATAATTAGGTAGTTTTATAGTTATAAGTTTAAGCACTGCATGGCAGAACTCCCTCAGATTAGAAAATGCTTATGGTCTTTTATTAAAAGCAACTATAGAAATAGCAGGCCATAAACTGTCTAAGAGAAGCAAATAAGTCTGATATGTAAGTTCTTAAATTTGTCTTAATTTAAACTTAGTGACAACCTTGGTGCCATTTAAATAATGAGGCTGTAATAATAAGTAAACATCTATTTGTCATGCACTACCATAAATTTCTACAAATATTTGCATATTTTTTTTATTATTATTTAGGCACATACAGTGTTTGAAATAGGCGGTTATAGGCTTTTTTTCTTTATATGGTTATCCAAAGCAACACTTAGCAAGCTATGTCTATATTATTCCTAATTAACCCTAACCTTAAAATTATCATGATAACATCTGATGCCTGTTAATGATATAATAATATTTAGAAATGCACATTAAATAAATTATGTTTTGGTTTCTAGAAATTAATTTAATTATAATAATTAAATGGATAAATACTTCAAAATTAACTAAATAATATTTAAATCTCAGTAATGCAAAATCATCACTGTTAAAAATAAAATCTTGTCCAATTATAATCTTGAATAATAATTAAGAGATTAGAATTAAGCTATTCATATAATTTTAGACTTCACTTCCTGCATTCTGTTGAAAATTGACATTATATAAAGAAAATATATTTAAAAAATACACAAAATAAATTTGCTCCCTCTACTGGACTGAAATAATAAATTTATAATAACCCTGAAATTCACTAAGTTCTGATCAGTTTTATTTTATGTTATTTACATACATAAATTTTACAGTACTAAAAATAGTGTAACAAAAATAAAATAAATGTTTGTAACTTCATGATTAGTTGAAAACATGCGGTAAATGTTGTACACAATACTTTTATGTATATATGAAATTACTGCGGATTAGATTAAAAACCTGTAACATTATAACTACCTCAGAATTCAAAAACATTTAGTAAAAAGTTCATAATTTTAATGACTAGACTCCACAGATGAATGATTAATTAGTTTGTTTAACATTTCTATAGCGACTAATATCCCAAAGACATTATTTAAAAATGTAAAATAATCATAAAACATGTTACATTTTTATATTTAGGATTTTAAATAAATTGATTGATTGGAAATCCTTAAGCACAGGCAAAATCCCAATATTTAAATATAGGAAAATATTACAAAAGAATATTTTTACAGCATAGATAGTTTTAAACTGAGTGAAAAAGAACAATATCTATAGGAAAAAAGAAGAAAAAAACCAGGAATTAATAACATATTTTATTATTACAGTTTAAGCTTTTCAGTTATACAATTTCAACTTGTTCATATAATATTAAATACTAAAAGGATGCTGTTTAACAGCAATTCACATTCAAAAATAAATATCACAGATATATTAGTTACTCAATAACAATATCTTATTTAAAACCTTCTCTCTAAAACACTTTTTTATAAAAATAATTTGATTTAAAAAAATTATCATTTCATATTTTTACTCCAATCTAGTAAGCAAAAAAAAAAAAAAAAAAAAAAAAAAAAAAATTTACTTTTAATTAATTATTAGATGCAACAAAGAGAATTACAGTTTTCATATCTAATATACAAAATAATAATAGTATTTAAGTATCTTAAACTTATAGACATGTAGTATGTCAACATTTTAATTAAATGTAGAAAAAGTAAGAGATTAGAATTAAGCTGCTCATATAATTCTGGGCTTCATTTCCTGCATTCTGTTGAAAACAGAAATTATATAAAGAAAACTATACTTAAAAAATACACAAAATAAATTTGCTCCCTCTACTGGACTGAAATATAAATTTATACTAACCCTGAAATTCACTCAGTTTTATTTTATGTTATTTACGTACATAAAATTTTACAGTACTAAAAATAGTATAATAAATATAAAATAAATGTTTGTAACTTCATGTGTTCCCTTCAGACATTTAAATATTAAAAAAAAAAAAAGAAAAAGAAAAAGAAAAGAAAATAGTGGCACAGTATGATGAAATGTATGTGTGTGTATATATATACAAAATACATTAATTAAAAGTAAATTAAAAAGCCTAAAAATTATGCTAAAGCTGCAAAGTAATAAACCAATAATTCAATATATATATATATATATCAGAAAATAAAAGTTATAATATTGATTTTTGTGAGATGAGATGTTAGAAAAATGACTTCAAGATTTATTCAGTTAAATCTGGCCTTCTGAGAAAGAGCTAGGCTGAATCTTTCTTTGTTTATTCTTTTACTAACTATTAATTTATTATTTAGTTTTTTTAGCTTGATTCATTAACGATTACAGTAATTTTATTATTCAGTATAAAAGGTTTTCACAAATTAATGAATTTTAATTAATTCATATTGTGACTGGGCTTTATTTGCATGTTTCTTATTTAAAAAATTTTGAAACTGAAAAATATATACCATATCATTTGAATACAAAATTAGCTGCAAGATACTTAGATATACATTCAAGATAATATGTGATAAGTAAATAAGAGTAACTTTACTAATTCGGTACCATATTAAAGGACCCATTTTTAGAAAAATTTATTGATTCTTCCTTAAAATTACCAAATAATACTTGAAGAATAAATCATAGTTCATATAAAAGAATTTTAGCATTAATATTACGATAATTACGATAACAAGATAAAACTGCATTGAACAATATGTTATAATTTATACGCATTTTGATGCAACTGTTCAATTTTGCAGTGTTAGAGCTACATATATGTAACATATTAAATATGAAAGAAAATTATTAACTTTAATTTTAGCAATAGTCCTGTTTATTCCCCATTTTTATTTGGCTATTTCCCCATTCTGTGCTAAAAGTATAAATTGTTTACAATAACTTTCTGGACTGCTGCATCTGAAAATTTATCCAATTCGTACTTTCTTATGTTATCATGCTGCAATGCAAATAGCTCTCATCCAATCAGATCAAAATTTAAACAAAGATACTAAGTCTATAAATAACACTGTTACTAATTTTATAACCTTTTTTTCTACTTGGCCTTACTTCTATTAGCCATGTATAGTTTGCTGCTCCATTTTACTCTTTGGCTAAAAAATTATAAGCTGTGCAAATTATGAGGTGTATAGTACACCCATAAATGATGATATGTGAATCTATTCATGCATATCAAGGATTGCTTTGTTATGAAATAAAACCATGTTGAATCATAATCATGGCCACATCTGAAAGCTTTTCTTCTCTGTTATGTCATCTCAGGTATGCTTGCAGCTGTTTTTCTAATCTCAAGATATCTGCAGGATTCATGTTAGATTTACATTTTTTATAGCATTATGGGTAAAAAGAGAAGCAGTAAGCAGCAGTTTAGCTACACTGAGGTGCAAAAAGAAAGTGTGTAATTATCTGGCATGGAAGCTTATTAAGAGAAATATTTTGGTTCTCAAAAGTTTTAAGTTTCAAATTAGCTATGTAACCAATGTTATGTACAAGTCATAGGATATGGATAAATCTAAAAATGACACAGCCCAAAAAAACCCATTACTATTTTTGAATACAGAGAGGAAATACCAAAATTAAAAAGAGAAATTAAGGGGTTATTGCTAATTTAAACTGATTTACATATTACATTTGCAAATTTTGAGTTAGATTTTATATCTCACACAAATATTCTGAAAACAGGCACGATTAGAGTGCCCAGTTATCTGTGGGCACAAATGTCAGCTGCAATAAAAATTAATATTTAATCTGTCTCAGCTGCCAAGTTGCTGTTAATTATAGATCAACATCTATGCAAATCAATTTTTCTACATTATTACATGTATAGAGTACAAAGTCCGTAATCCGGACGTCCATTATCCGGAATGATCTATAATCCGGACCTCAACCGGACCACAAACTTTTTTTTGTATGCTTTACGCATGCACATAAAGAACGGGCGCGCATACATAATGTATGTTTTACGCATGCGCGCATTGAAAGAAATGTTTAATAAAGTAAACAAATAAATGTTAAGCTTTTTTTTGGTAAAATTTGATACCCTTTAGATTATAGCTCTTTATTTAATAATTAGCTCTTTATTTAATAAATTACGGTTTCATATTTTTAATTGTATAATCTGCATGCTATCTTACCAGATTTAAATTTATGATCTATAATCTGGAATCACCGAAGTCCCGAGGAGTCCGTATTACTGACTTTGTACTGTATCATAAATTAAGTAATAATCTAAATATGTAAAGAATAATGAAGGGTATGATTAAAAATTGTATAATGTCAAATGAATAAAAATTATACATGATACATTAGTATTATGAGCTTCAAGGACAACAGCCACATCAGTTTAAGAGAAAGTTTCAGCAATCGTATAATAACAGCTCACTTATAAATACACACAAATGTACAAATTCTTCCTCGGAAATTATTCATCTAAATATAAACATAACTGACAACAGATACAATCCCGCAAACACACAAAGCCTTTTATTACCCTCTATGATAAAACTGACAACATTTTCCACCCACGTCAACTTAGATATGCCAACTTAACAACATTCTTATACATGCCATTTTTCCTATGAAAATATGTATTTTACTTCTAAGTAGCATTTTTATCTTTTACCATAATTACATAACCGTATGCCCTCAAAGATTATGTGAATGTTACACAAGTTTACTGTATTTGTTGTTCAGTATTTTCAAAAGAATGATAATCTGTGATTTGCATGCAAAAATGATATTTCTCATTGCCATTATATTTCACTAAAATTATAGCAGTTCTTATGCACATAATTCTTATGGAAGCATAAATTAGAAAAATGATAAACTTAATGTTTAGAAGTTTTGAATCTTAATGCATAGCAAGACTTTTTTTTTAACACATTAACTTGCTAATCTATACAACAAATTTAAAAACTGCACCAAAATCAAATTATAATTTATCATCAAGTTCAAAGAAATATCGCTTTTACAAACATTCACAAAATTTCTTCTTATTAATACTTTCAAAGCAGAGAAAACACTCAACTTAGTAAGTGCAATTCAATGCACATTTTAATGACTCCTTGCATCCTCAAGAGCAAGGTTATTATAATAAGCAATCTCTACAGTGAATGCAGAAGGGGACTCTTTATGATCACTGTACGAAACAGTCACTATAATGAAGAGGCATTATAATGAGCTTCAACTGTATGTGATTTTAAATTAAGGATATATAATATTTAGTGATAGTCCAAGCATATTAACATGAACAGCATACAGGTAAGTATACATTTTTTCTGATATTTTTACATCTTGAATATATATTTATAAAGTTACTGAATAAAAGAAGTGAAAAAAGATTTAATACTTGAATGAGATCTAAATAATGATTAAAATAATTAAACTTTGTTGGGTTTCTAGAGGTTCTTGTAACCAAGTTTGACAGTACACAAGCATAAACAGTGAATAATGGAGCCACATCACTTTTCATATCATATTTCTGAGTGCACTTACAAAAAATATTTTTATAAAAGCTTTTTTCTTTATTTATTTATTTATTTTGTAACAGTTGCAATTTACTGACAAAGAATGGAAAATTGTGGACACTTTAGAATAAAACAGCATTTATATGCTTTATAAAGGCACTTATTATAATTTTAAGTATTGAAATAGGCATTAATAGGCTTTTTCTACACATTTTGATATATAATCTTTAATTAAAACCTTATTTCAGAACTAATCTCTCATCAAAAGTGAACCATTCATAAAGAGTTTCTTTTTTCTCTGGAAGTTACAGTTCTTTTATATACATGATTCTATCACTCATTTTTCTAATATTGTATCTTTCTGATACACCCACTGAAAAAGAATTTAAATAAAAAAAAAAAAATCATTAAAAATCACAGGGTATGATCAAATATTTTATGTATGATAATGCAGAAATTTCTATGCAAACACCAGGAACACACTGCGCCGTAATTCGCACGTTTGACACCATTTCTTATTTAGAAATTTTCTCTAAAGGTGCTTGTGATGTTCTCTTTAAACAAATTTTCACCTAAAAAAAAAAGATTATGCAATAATATGTGTAATCGCAAAAGAAGTTCTAGCATAATAAGCAAAGAAATATTATTAACTTTCAATATGAAATAATTTAGGTCATTGACTTTAATTTTTAAAGTAAAATAAAATGAATGTTTCTATTATAAAAAAAAATGTGTCAAAACATTTTCATTGTTTCTTTGTCTTTATAGTCTTATCTTTCTAATTTCAGATAAATTATGAAAAAAATATTTGGTAATTATAAAATTATTATAATAAGTTAGAGAAATTCAAAGTTGCTAAATTTTTGGCGACCCTCTACTGCAAGTCCTGCGATCCCAATTGGTGTTGCAACTCACAGTTTAAGAAACTCTGGTTTAGAAGAATGGGAGAATGATTAAAATACAAAAATCAAGTACTTGCATAAGAGTTTTTTTCTCTTCATTTTTACTAAAACAGTCTACCAATGTTTTGGAGACAATTATATGAAAATAAAATTTTAAATTTAACAGCTTCTAAAATTCATTTATATAAAGTGTTTGAAATGCAATAAAACAAGATACATCCCTAAGCACAATGGTGAAAAGAGAGAATGGAAAAAGAGTGCTTTATGCAAAATCACAAAAGCCTGCTTATGCCAAAAGCATTCAGATCGATGGATTTGTGCAGTATTTTTCAACAAACACTTTGCTTGTAATTTTCCTTATGGGGAAGGCCCAGACATTATATTTCCTTTTTATTACATTGTTTAGAAAATTATTTCATCACATACAGAGAGAAAAATTGTCTCCACTGAAATAAAAAATGAAAATGAGAAGACATATCAGTGAAATAAAAAATGAGCTATACCAGCATCAATTATTTTTAAAACTACATTATTATTTTTATACAGAATTCACACATATACCAAATACTTTTATCAATACTCCTCTAGGTTTTAAAGTTCATTCCCAATAAATTTAGGGCTTTGCTTTTACAACTATATCCTTACTACAGACTTCACCTCTATATTACAACTGAATTCCATGTGTTACCATCTTGAGAAAGTATTTTCAATTCATTTGATTCTCCCTTTCTCCAATGCAGCTTTCCAGGCAATACTGAGAGTTTACTGAAGTTTCTTTTTGAAGATCTCTGCAAGAATAGCATACTCAAAATTCCATAAAACTATCAACAGGTCTATCCAGTTAAGGCTCTTGTGCTAAACGTTTTCATTTGAGGTGACATTTCAGGAAATATTCCATGGATTTCTTTTCATTCTCAAAATGATAATTGTGAACTCAAGTTTAATTATCTATAATATTCTTCTTTTCCTACATCATATTCAGGGCATTCCAAAAATTCCTGAAAACTGCAAACTCCTTCCACCATTTTTTGAGACAGATATACAATAGCCATCTGACATAAACTTGTAGAATTCAAGAACACAAATAGTATGCCATTCTTTTCTTAGAATATGGCAGCACTTTCTTTTCATTTGATGTCATACATGTAGACCAGTTCTTCAATACAAACTTGAAAGAAGTTTGCACTGAAGCTCTTCCACAGAATTTTTACTTTATGTTTTGTCCTTCAAATCTGCTTTTCCAATTTCTCCATCATAATCATCACTAAATAGCTTGAATTCATCCATGAATTTTTACTGAAGATACTTTACTGCAATTAAAAGTTTGACAATAATAACATGCTGCTTGTACTGACTATTTGGATATTGTTTCACTTCACTATGCACAGCATAGGAACTGTAAACATCATGATGTTCAAAATCAAGTTTGAATGGAAATACCATGCAGATAGGCAGGTCAGATTTTAGCTAAATATGTCAATCAAAACAAATATATTTGAGTGCAGATGAAATGTACTAGCTGGCTGGCCTACACTACTTTGTAAAATTAAAAATAGTTACATTCTTATTTTGTTTTCTGATAGTAATCATAACTTGTGCCTGACCTGCAAGTTTAGATATTAATTCCTACTTTTTTTATATATACGTAATAATCATATATACGATTTGTATCTTTAAGGAATTTTAGTAATACATAATCAGGAAACATTTTTCAAAAGTATCTCACAAAGAATATAATTCTTAATAAATTACAAGAATACATAACATTACATACCAAAGATTATTTTTAAAATTATAAGAATACAGGGGAAAAGGAACAATGATATTTATAGATAAATATTAAATAAAAATTTACATCTGCATATGTTACATTATACATCAATAATTTTCCTGAGGTTTCATAAAACCCAAGAAGCAACAGAAAATTATTTTTTATGAATGTTATTTTTAACCAATTTTTGACCAATTTTATAAACCATATGACTGATGTAAATTAACATAAACATATTAGATTTGCCTTATAAGTTTTCCCCACCTCTGAAAAACACAAAGAAAGATCACAAAAATGTTCAGTTGAACTTAATCATAAATCTTCTTCTGCAAGCATGCACAAAAGTGTCACTATAGTAAGCAGGAATAAAAATAATTCCTAAATGTTTCATGTTTACCTCAAATGGATTTCCTTCTCAATTACAACAGAAACATAGTTTTGGTTTAATCTTAAACTTTAGCCTTATTTAAGTGAGTAATATCAAGGAAATTTTAAAAAACTATGTATCTTCTACTGCTCCATTGATTTGCTTTAGAACGAATATGTGAATGAAGAAAAATAACCACCCCAAACAATCTGGTTTGGGAGGAGCATGGAAGATCCACAAGAGAATTCTCAAAAGAACAGTAAGAAACATTTTTGGATTTTTAAATCTTCAGTTTAGCTAATCAAGTTAAAATACTGTGTTACAATATCACTTATATTAGGGTTCACAGAGAAGAGAAATTTATATTATAGATATCATTACAAAAAGAGAAAGGCTACATCAGGTTACACAACAAATAAACTACAATCTCTTTACTATTTGGCAGCACCTATACAAAGTCCTTCAGGCTCTCAAGAGAATCTGCCTCATTTTAATTAGTCTTTAGAAATGAAAGAAAAGGATGCATAAATAACTTTTACATTTATAATATGCAGACAATGGTAAAACATTAAAATAAAATAGCAAAGTTAATTTTTTTAAAACCTTAATTTAATATTAGAAAAAATATAGCTCATATGGTACTTGCAGTTAAGTAACTTCGTTTGTTTATTTACTTGCATATTCAATCCTAATCAATTACTTGTGAATCACTAAAACATATTTCAATAAATGGATGAACACAGAATTACTGGAATATTAAGACTGCTCTTAAAAGTCCCACAGGATTTTATTTACTACTGTATCAAATAAATGGATGCACACTAAATTTTCAGAAACAAATGAAGTCTTAAAAATAACTTAAATTTATATGAAAATAATTTACCCCTGTTTATTTGTGATATAAACATTTTAAAAAAGGTTATCAGATGTAAATTTAGAAAGAGATGACGTAAAATCCGAAAACATTGACAATCTACTTTGGTGTTAGATTAAGGAAAACACTACACTGACATTTGCATATGGTGCAGGCTTTCATCAACAAGTTTAACTCAGGAACAACAGAATAAGGGCCTTTAAAAATGGTATAACTAAAGACAACCAAAATTTATGCACTACTAGAAAAAGTCAGATATCGCTAATTTTGTTATTTTGAATTGCTTATTATAAGTTAACATTCATATAAGAGATATTAAAAAAGTAAATAAAAGATAATAAAATTCATGTAAATTTTAACTTATTTTTTATTTATTTATTCGAATTTATTTATTAAATTATTAATTTATTATTAAAATGATCTAATATTATATCATCTAGTCATGATTTAGTCTTAGATAAAAAATTTTTGCATCAGAAAATCCTTGCTGTATATGATAGGGAAAAACAAAATGTTTTTTAGGGTCCCTTTCTAATTATCCACATTCCCACAGAAAAGAAGTGAAAAAAATATTAATGTAAAAGGTGTGGAAAAGTATTCTTCAAGCAAAGTATTTGTCAAAATAGTTTTAACTATATTATATATTATTTATATTTATTATAACTAAGTTATATGGTAACCCTCAATGTTGCTAAAAATTATTAATGTGGTAACCTGGGTATGTATATAGCATGTGTCTATTTTTCTCGTACATAATTTAGAAGCTACACAGAGCTGAGTTTGTGCATGTCTCCGACTTTTTTTTTTTTTTTTTTTTTTTTTTAAGTGAAAATAAATTGCTGTTTACATGGACAAAAGAGCACAAAAAAATAGGGGGGGAATACTGATTTATTATTAATGTTTCTTTTTCATTTTTACTGATTAATTGTTATATGGATTTGTTAGGATGTCACCTGTTCTTTTACTTGACAAAAAATTAATTGCCAATGTGTTCATAAAACGCTTCCCAAAGTAATCAATAAATTTGTAACAGGAAGCAAATAATCGGAAAGTACTGCATTTTGTTTCATTTTGTATCTTGTATATTAATTTTGCTATAATAAGACTTCCTTAATTTTCTTATTAAGATGTTATTTAATGAACATATTTACTGAACCTTATGTTACTGGTACAGCAATAATATCTAAATTATCATCATTATTACTTTGTGAGTATTTAAATTTTCATCAGATATCACTAATTTTGTTATTTTGAATTGCTTATTACAAGTTAACATTCATATAAGAGATATTAAAAAGTAAATAAAAGATAATTTATGTAAATTTTAACTTATTTTTTATTCAAAATTTATTTACTAAATTATTAACTTACTATTAAAATGATCTAATACTACATCATCTAGTCATGATTTAATCTTAGATAAAAATTTTTGCATCAGAAAATTCTTGCTGTATATGATAGGAAAAAAAACATACATTCATTCCATTATTCCTATAATTAATATAAGAAAATTATGTAGCAGATGAAACTAACTTGGATAAAATATTATTGACTACAATTTACATTATCCTCAGCATAATAGAAATTAGCAAGTATTTTCATAGCTGCACTTATTTCAACAATATTCAGAAAAAAGATATGACCTAATAAATTCAGCC